TGAGGCACCATTTGTTTTTTTTTTTTTTAAAGGTTTAAAAGACATTCAATAAATATTCCACTTATTGAATGAAATTCTATTAAATAGAAGTGGCTCTGAAACATCACAAAATATGACTTTACCTAAGTTTTTATTAGGAATGACAGTGGAGGTGTGCCTGGGTGGCTCAGTTGATTAAATGTCTGTCTGCCTTTGGCTCAAGTCATAAGTGATCTCAGGGTCCTGGGATTGAGCCCTGGGTCAGGCTCTCTGCTCAGTGGTGAGCTGGCCTCTGCTTCTCCATGATCTTTCTTAAATAAATACATACATACATACATACATATATACATACATACTCTTTTAAAGAAGAATAATTTCTTCATTTTTTTTCAAGAAATATTTATTGAGAGCCTACCATGTGCAGACACTGGGAAACAGAGATGAAAAGAGACGTTTTTGTTCTCCTGACACTTATAATCTAGCATGGGAGGTCAACAATAAGTAAACAAAGTAACCTCACAAATTGCAGATCTGTGCAATAGGGAAAATAAACAAGGTAACGAGCTAGTGATGAGGAAGTACAGGCTACCAGAAAGACAGGAGGCAGATCTGGTAAGAGCCAAAGGTCTGGAGTCCAATTCCAGACTTACAACTATCTAACTATAAAGATTGTTGGGCAATTGACTTGGATTCCTTGGGCTTCAGTTTAATTATTCATGAAACAGGAAAACTGCCATCCCAACCTACATGATTTGGAAAACAAAATGAGATCACAGAGGTAAAAGTGTGCTGGCATTAAAACACTATGCAAAACACAATACAGTTAAGAAACCACTAGACTTGAGCTTAACTGGTGAGTTTGTTGAGAGCAGGAACTGTGTATAACTGATTATGGTATCCCTAATTAATCTGTCTCAAACATATTTTGAATGAATGGCCAACCAAGTTTTTGTAACGTCATCATTTAGTGCTCTCGTCATCTCCTGGTCTGATGACAGGCATATTACCCAAGGAAAATATAGATTTCCTGTAACAAACTCTGATCTCAGTAACAGGTTAGCATCTCTGAAATGTAGCTTGTTAACATGATGTTAGCTTAATTAAGATGGCAGATCCTTTCATGAATGTGATTACAAACTGTAATAATGCCTCCTGTGTGAATCTAGCTGTTATCTGACCAAGTGGCCACAGTCTGTGTATTGTCCTAACAATGATTTAGCTGATGACCATAAATTAAACAGCTACTTTAAGTCATAAACACAAGCTAAACTCATAAATATCCACAAAATTACTCACACCATAAGTTAAGGATAAATGAAGATAGATGGTATCAAGGGAATCACATTCCTGAAACCCATTTTCATCAACAAAATACTCTTAGAGAGTAGTGGAAATGTGGCCTATGGATCATGAAAACTTTGGACTTTAGATTAGGAAACGGTGTTTAGTAGGAATGATTATGGCTAGAATAAGTTGTATTATACGCCATTATGGATGGAGAACTGGACTGAACCTACTCCTGCTTCTCTATACAAATGGTTTCACTCTCCCTGTCCTCATCTCATCCCATTTCTGAATCTTCCATTAGCACACAGGAGAAGCAGCCTCAAGTCCAGTAGCACACCTTCCTTCCCTAAGGAGCACTTATCCAGACCTAAGTAAAGGCCCTAAACAGAGGAAGAGTCTCTGCTCAATCATGTTTGATACTGGATATGACATGGATATTCTGACATAGTATTTGATGCCAGGGGGATTTTGATGCAGCTGTTTTAAATTGGTCATTTTGATGTAAGAAGATTTTGACCCAACATGAAAGTTAACCACTAAACTTCAGCATTTTCCCCCCAAATAATGTAAATAATATGTCTATCTTAATCACTACCCTAGTTCAGAATAGGATAATGGTAGTGACTCTTGTACACTACCTGGTAATTAAAAAGAAGGGTTTCCACTTTGACAAGGCTATTTTGATGCAGCCTTGTTTTCAATCATAGATACTCTGACCAAATTCTGGCAGCTACTTAAGAGCCACTTGTGAAACTATTTCTCCATAAAACTAATGAACAACCTACAGTGAGCCATGTACAACAGCTTTGTGCTTTAAAGTACTAACTGCTGAACCAATTCAATGTCTTTTTCCTCTGGTTCTGGAAGCCCTTGGAGCCAGGTGGTTGTGAGACGGCCAGTTCCACCCAGAGTCCTTAGAGAGCTGCAAGCATTTACAAACTGGCAAGGAATCTCAGCCAATTCGGAGATTTTCTTGGACGTCTATATTGAGTCCACTATAGCAATTTTTCCCCCTTAATTTCATAGAAGCAGCTACTGAGAATACATTTTTTCCAGAAAGCCTCCTAAAGGGTAAAATATGAATATTCCCAAAGCTCACAAGCATGTTTTTTGAATTTTACTTTCTCTTTTTAAATGTGGTTGCTCAACCAAATGAGAATGCATCTGCTATCTTTGCAGAATGCTGCTTAACTGCTCAATTCTACTGTGCAGAAGACACTTTTTAAAGTCTGTTTGGATTATCTACCGTTACAGTTGGGATGTGGTAACCTACCTCTGCAGATGCTTTTCCTCTGGTTGGTTAGAGCATCAAAGGCCAGCATTAGGAAGCTGCATAAAGTACTTCAAAATATATCATAAATAAAAAATGTTCTTTGGCTGAAGAGCATCACTTAAAGAAATGTTGATTTATGACCCTTATCTCACCCATTCTAAATAGGACGAAATAACTAAACCCTCTTCTTTCATGCCTCAGTCTTAGGAGGACAAAATCATGAAAGAAAAGCCTCTCTGAAGAAGGCCTCAGGAAAACCAGGTTCTGCTCTAATGAGCAGAAATAACAGAGACCCCCATAAAAATCTGAGTCCTGGTGATAGCTTGGAGCTGGTATGGCTGGTATGGTATAGGGTGATAGCCAGAAATTCAACTTCATCCTTTACCTCGCCCTAGGACAGGTAAGCTGGTGACCTGCAGAACATAACTGAGACCCAGAATTAATACCACAATCACAATAACCACACTCATTCCAAGGAAAGCATACCTGGATCCAAGAAAAGCTTACTCATACTACAGTCAGGGGTGAAGAAATAGAAATAGAGGGATAGATAATTAGGACCATTTTTACCTTTTTTCCTTGGTACACAATAAATAAGCTATCTTGCTTTCATTAGGAAAAAAAAAAAGCCTAGAATTAAGAAGTACTTAATTTAGCCGAAGTATGAAGGTAGGCTAGGAAGAAGTGAAATAAGCTATATAATAATGATTATTAGCCAACAGAGAACATCTGAAGGTCTACCCATATCAGGGTATCAGTTTCAGGTAGAAAACTCTTGGAAGGCAGAGAATGTATCTGTAGCACCATGGCTAGTGCAATTAGTATGTGTTTGAAGATGAAGGACCAAACCTCCAGGGAAAAAATGCTGACCCACTTTGGCCAATACTTTCAGCCACTGAAATAGTCTCTGGAGATCACTGGAATGTCAGGCAACCACTCAAATTACATGACAAAGCCACAAGCCCCCAAAACCCTGCATCCTGAGATATTGCCCGCTGCCAACCTCCCCCTCAAAGAGACAAGCAATTGATGATGTAGGTAGGTAATGAAATATGCTATACTTGTGCCTAAATCCAAATTACTTCTTAAAGAAATGGGATTAAAGTCGTGCTTTCTACTTAATTCAAGATGTGCAAACATAATACCAGAGCAGAAAATCCTCCTATATCCTGAACTCTGCTTTTGCTGTAAACCCACACGTTAAATATGATACTTCTCGGTCTTTCAATATGCTTGAGAGAGAACAGAAATCTGAAACAGTAAAGGCCATGGCACAGAATTTATTGGGATTATTTACCAAATAATTCATATACATCCAACATCACTGAATGGAAATAATATTGATTTTTTTTAAAAGCAAGGCTTCCACAGGGGTCTTTCAAAAAAGTTAAAGACTTCTTGAAATGGAATGACCAACCTAACAAAGTCAAAGGTAACTCAGTCAAATCCTAAACTCACTACTGCCAACATGTTTTTCTACTCAAAAGCAAACAACAAGCAAAGGCTCATAATTTAGTAATTATTGTTTCTTGGTTTCTGTTCTCAAATGCCACAGAAGGATGTGTGATGAAAGAAAGCAAAGCATCTAGTCTCAGCAGTCTTCTGAGTATCAATATAAATAGATTCCCCCATCTGATTAATTTCTTCACTTATTTGAGTAGGAATATTCTCAAAACCTCAGTCTTAAAAAAAAAAAAAAAACCTTAGTCTTTACTTTTGCTTCACACTGCAGTTGTTTGATTAAACCACCAGCAAAGTCCCTCTGTACTGGATGGACTAAATCACTAGAAAAGAATTCATTACAATCCCTTCCAAGAAACCAAAATAATCTCAATACAAATTTTGGTGCTAATATTTTACATTACTTACAGATACTTTGTTTCCTAATGGCAAGTATGTTGAAAAATGTATCATTAATTTCATAATAGACAAAGAAATAAATGAACCTATTATAATGTAAAACAACCATAAATTGCCTTCACTATTCCCAATGACCTTATACTACTCCTTTTTTTTTTTTTTTTTTTTTAAAGTAAACGCTATGTCCAAAGTAGAGCTTGTACTCAGGACCATGAGATCAAGAATCACGCATGCTCTACCACTGAGCCAGCCAGGTGCTCCTATTCCCAAAGACTTTAAATATAAAATCTAATTACACAAAGACAAAATTCCTTACCTGACTTAATCCTGTATACCAAATAGCATAAGTGCTAAAAATGAGAAACATTTTAATAAATTTCACATTAAGAACCTTGGAAATCACTCTGCATTAGTAATGGCAGAAAAAGATCAGAAAGGGGAAAATAAATTTCTCAGAAATTTTTTTAAAGGAAGAATGGATTTAAGGGAAAATTCCTTTGGACTCTATAACCTTTTTTTTTTTTTTTAAATTCTGTGCCTTTCAATGCTTCAACATGATGCCTAAAAAGAATATACTAAATAAAAGTAGCCAAGAAGGAAATCAAACATTTATAAGATATATTTATTATTTTTCTGACCAAAGTGCAATGATTTTTAAATCTCCTTAAACAAATAACTGAAAAAAAGGATTCAAGAAAATAAAACACAAATGGGAAATTAAACATTAGATTTTTTTACTTCATACCAACCCTACATTTAGTCTAAAAAACAAACAAAAACACTCTGAATGAAGTATTACTAAAATGCTAACCAAATCATTTACCATAAACCTAATACATGCACTTCAAGGTTCCACTGCTAGGAATTTTGTTAAGATCAGTTTAATCATTAATAACACTATATAATAGAGCATAGGAACACATGTCATTAGATGTGATCCTTGCCTCTTACCCTCAGACTTATGTCAGAATAAAGCTGACAACTCTGCCAGGCTCTGAACCCCCAGTGACCCCAACCCAATCCCTGGAAGCAAAGAAGATGCCCTGTCACACAACTTTGTGTAAGTTGTAATAAAGCAAAGCCTAAGTTTTCTTACTTTTCTGTAGGAAATGGTCAGTTATTTGATAAATACTAAAACACTTCTAGGAATTCTTTTTATGAGTTTGTTTACCAAACACATTTTACAAGAACCGACTACACAAAAAGTTCCTTTGGAATTTGGTCCACAAATTCACTTAACAGGTTGGAAATTTAAAACCTGCAAGAAAACGAGGAAGTGGGGAATCCCTAATCCTAACATGTTGTAATTATTAAAGGGATATACACACATACTAAAAAGTTTTGCTCACAGAAGGCACAAACTATAAAAGGGATATGCTTTTTGAGTAAAAACAAAGAACTAGCTGATATCCTTCTTTGTTTGGTGAGCACCATAGCTAAGATAAAATTAGACCCGAATTCACTCTACTCCTATAACCAAAAAAATCTAAGATAAAAAATTTAATTTGTCTTACTATATTCTTTCCAGCCATTAATTGAGATGTAATTATGAAAGATTAAAATTGCCTTAAAAAGGGGTTGTAATAGCAGCTATCAAAGCAATATTCAAGCATGATTTTGAGTTTCCTTTCAGGTTTAGAGTTAGCCTTCTTTGTCAAAAATCTTCACAACTTCATCAAAAACCTGTAAAGGATAAAAATAATAGTAATTTTAAAAGAAGGTATTATTAAAACACTATATGGCTAAGTTCCTGCTAAAAGGTCAATTTTTTAATAAATTTTCAAGATGTTCATTAAAAAAATACTGTGATTCCTTGGTTTTATCTGTTTTACTTTACACAATGGCATATAATATCATAAATACATAATTGTGAACAACATACATTCAATTTTATTAGTGGTTTCAGGACAAAACAAACTTCTTGATCAGTAGCAATTATTTGATAAAATGTAAACTGAAGTAGCTTATTTTTCTACTTTTGATTCTAAAGCACTAAGTGCCCTGATGTATCACCTCACCTCTATGGGAAGGAGTAATGGATAAAAAACCAACAGACCTGGGGCTCAATTGGTTAAACATCTGCCCTCAGCTCAGATCATGATCCTAGAGTCTTGGGGTCACTCCCTGCTCAGCAAGAGTCTGCTTCTCCCTGTCCCTCTCTGTTTCTCCCCTGCTCATGCTCACTATCTCTTTCAAATAAATACATAAAATCTTAAAAAAAAACAACAACAACAAAAAAACCTAGAACTATGTGATAAACAAGAAAGGTCCAGAAAGAAAGACTCAGGGAGTCAAGGCGAGAGGATTTGGATTAAGAGACACCAGAAAAAGCTGCTGGGCACTGAGGGCTTGCATAGCAGTTTAGAGATTATGGATTTTTGGAGGAGGTGAGAAGAGCTAGGTCTGGAAGACCTACTTCCCTGGAGCTCTGTGCTCTGTGATGATGAGTTGGAAGCAGCCTGGGGCCCTTGAGGGGCCCCATTCACATTAGAGATTTTTAAAAATGAACATGGTCCAAATCACAGTTCTCAAAATGCCAATTTTCCAGTGCTTGAGAAAAGAGGGTTGGAATTAATAAACCATCCACTTCTTGTGAAGAACAAGTCTCAAGTTGTAAAATCTATTTTAGATGTTATTCAAAACGGAGAAAAAAAATCTCATTTTCCATTTTGTCTCCGGGGTCTTTAAAAGCAAACAAACTAATCTGCCATTTCTCTTTTTCTCCTGCCTACCTACCCCACCGCCCCCACTAAATCACATTTTTACTTGACTTTTAAGGCAAGCTAGGGATACTCACCTCGTCAACAGACTTAGAGGCATCTATTTTCTTGACTTTCCCCATTTCTTCATATAAGTCAATAATTGGCTTTGTTGATTGAAGATAGGTCTGAATTCTGCAAAAGCAGCAAATAATGCAAGATTCTAAGTACTCCCTCATTCTTCCCCAGGTTATAGGACTGCTCAGAGCACAACTCAGATCCAACCCAACCGACTCCCTTATCTTCTTAGACCAGACATTTTACATATTTAAGCATCCCATTTTCTTTTTCTGGGCAAATTGAGGCAGGTATTTAATCGGCTCCTCAAGTTCCAAACTGAGTCTGAGGTGGCAATGTGTAAATTCTGCAAAGTACCTCTTTTCCAAGCTCTCTCTGTTGTCATCACTTCTACCACTGCTCTTTCCCCTCTCAAGACATCGTTCAATACAGATCTAAAAAGAGAAATAAATAAAACGGTCATTACAAAAAAAAAAAAAAACGAGGTGAATTTGCTGTTCACATTTGCCATTCTTTTAACCTGAAAAGAGAAAAAAGTTTGAAGAGATTACAAAGAGCCCGACATTAAAACTAATTTGTCTAATTCATTAATCAACATGCAAAGTCCTTTTAAATTTAAACATGTGGTTCAATTTATATAAACTAGGTTAAATAAGTACAGAGCATAATAAGAATTCATTCATAACTCAGTTTTTCCTGTGTACTTTTTTTTAAAACCGCAATAAAAAGAAGATCTGTATGTGTATGCTTCCATCTAGGATATATTATTAACTTATTAGGTATGAATTACATGCCTCAAACTTCGTTCCATTTTGCTTACTTTTTGATAATTCCATAAATATCCAAATATTTAAGAGTCAACATATTTGCATTTGAATAAAGTATCCCTTGTTAATCGTGAATAAACATTCCTTAGTTATAAAGCTGCGGTAACATTCTAAAGTTAACTTTGAAGAATAAGTGAAAACATATTTTTGGGAGTTGGAAAAAGAGTTACATTTTAAAACAACTCAAAGGCTGCAGTAAGTCTCTCCACCGGAGGCACATTTGCAATTCAACCCAAGAATAGCCAACTTCCTTCAAGGCAGTACTTTAGATTCTTATTCTTTCAGGCTGTTGGCATTAATTTAATGAAGTTATATTACAGCTGTCAAACAGTCAGGCCTTCTAATTAAATGATTCTGAGAAATTCATTTAGTTATTTAAAGGTATGTCTGGGTATGTTATTAGAAGTACCAGGAAGAAAAAGCACTTTCCTGCTTTTCTCAAGATCATTTCACTCTTAGAAGAAAAATTAAACTTTTTTTTTTCCGAACCAACCAAGCTATCTTACATGTTTCTTTAAAATAGAAAGTTCTCCCAGCTTACCAAAAATGTTTCCCTAACATCCTAAGACAATACTCTGATACAGAGGGGCCTGGGTGGCCCAGTGGTTGAGCATCTGCCTTTGAAAGCTCAGGTCATGATCCCAGAGTTCTGGGATCAAGTCCCACAACAGTCTCCCCGCAGAGAGCCTTCTTCTCCCTGAACCTATGTCTCTGCCTCTCTCTGTCTCTCATGAATAAATAAAGTCTTTAAAAAAACAAATACTTGTTATTTTGAAAATAAAGCAAATTTTAGGCCCACAAGATTGCTGATGCCAAATAGTTTTTAGTACTGCAGCCTCAAGATAGTGCTGTTCCATCCATCCAATTTGTCAGTTCAAGGTAATATTGTTGCCACTATAAAATGTAAATATAAAAGTCACTTTGTTTTTCTCTAATAGTGACCATCAGTTGCTTAAAGACCATATGAGCAGATGAAGCTTTTCATTACCTCATTATTACAGTCAAAAAACAGAACAAAAGATACATCTGCCTTCCCATCCATGGTCTTATTCCAACCTTGAAGGTTGTCTTGATTTCTTGGAAACCCATCAATCAAGAATTTATTCTTCTGAGCATTGGCAGCCATTGTCTGATCCATTTCCTAAAAGAAAAGGAAGATTCAGGTTCAACACATTAACAAAATCCAATTTCTTAAGCAGGGTGAGGGAGATATAAGTATTTTGTTATTATTATTATTCCTTAAATCATCAGTAAAGAGTGGAGGGTGCATAGAAAAAAAAGACTTAAAGGAAATAATCCAATATACATATACATACACATACAATGTTTTTTTCTGCAGTTTCTAAATTTTTTACAGTAAGCATTTATTACTTTCACATATACATTCACAAAGTTATAAATAGCAGAAAGAAAGAAAAAATAAGCATTAACCAGTACCTTTGCTCCAGCTACTAGAGATCCCATCTTGCCTTCCCCTCTCCCCTCCCAAGTCATTTTGCTATAGGAAGAAGTATGCTGCTTCTGCAGGCATTCAGATTCTCCGCAATAATTCAAGTCCAATTGCACAAAGCTTTGGACAAATATAAAGAGATTGGAAGCATTAATTATTAGCATAAAAGTTAATACATTTTTGACTGAAGCTAATAATTTTAAATGCTACTGGCTACCCCAAAACACAGGTAGCAGAGGAAAGAATACAAGCAAGGAAGACAGCAAAAGTAGCACGCTTCACCATTCCTAGCCAAAGTCTGAGACCGGAATGTTGAAATATGTGAATGGGAGGTGCAGGTCCCTAGTTTCCAAATCTTCACCACTGCCAGCCACCATGGGCTATGCACTGATGCAGAACTCTGACCAAAACACATCAACATCCAGTCCCCTCAAACTGCTCCTTGTTTCTCACGAAGAATAAAGGCTGTCAGGTCCTCTAATTCCTTTATCTAAGGGTTGGCTTTATCCCAGCATTTGCTTCTCCAATATCCTCTAGTAATACAAAACTTTCACAGAATATTTTTGAGCCCCCGCTACAGCATTTCTACCCTGATTATGACAGAGGAAGATATCTGAAGAGGTGTGCTACTCATTCAACATACATTTATTCAAGGCCTAATTACCAGGGAACATGAACAGTAACATGGCTCTTGGGAGGCTCACGGTTCAGCAGGTAACAATTACATGTAAGTAAATGTGCTAAATTCTATGAGGACATAGGAAAAGATGCAATGATAAGACAACAAAATAAAGCACAAATTACCAGGGAAACTGCCCAAGAGAGCTTTACCAGAGAAATGGCAGTGGAGCTGAGTCCTAAATAGCAAAGTGGCAAGCAGATGGGGGTCAAGGTACTCCAGATGATGTAAACTGGATATATAAAGGCTCAGAAATGAGAAAGCATAACAATTTTAATGAATCTGAAGTAAGCTGAGAAAACTGAATATTAAGACACACATAGACTGGTGAAAGATAGGACTAGAAAGTAAGTAGGGGTAAGATTAATGAAGAACTTATTATGCCACACTAAGGAACTGCTCTTTATTCTGGAAGCAACAAAGGATTGCTTAAGGAATTTTAAGCAAATATGCTTATATCACCTTCCGGAAAAAAATCACCCTGACTAGGGTGCTTGGGTGGCTCAGTTTGTTGAGCATGGACTCTGGATTTCAGCTCAGGTAGTGATCTCAGGTTTGTGAGATGGAGCCGTATGACAAGCTTTGTGATGGGCTCTGCAGTCTGCTTGAGATTCTCTCTCTCCCTCCTGCTCTGCCCCACTCCCCTGCTCACACTCACTCTCTAGCTCTAAAAAAAAAAAGGAAAAAAAAAAAAACACCCTGATTGCAACATGAAGGATGAATTAGAAGGAGTAAGCATGGATTAAAGGCAAAAAGATTCATGAGGAGGCTCTAGTGATGGTCAAGGTAAGGAAAAGAGGATCTGAACTAAGGTGACAGTGGTAAAGGAGAAAAAAAAAGACTATATCAAAGACGGTTAAGAGGAAGATAATTGAAAGGTTTGCTCACTGAACTTGGGAAACTGAAGTGGAAAATACAAGATGGCTGGCTCCGAGATTTCAGATTTGGGCACAAATGGTAGAACCATTAACCAGGAAAGGAGATAATGGGTGATTACATTTTATTTATTTTTTTATTTTACTTTATTTTATTATTTTATTTTATTTTTTAAAATTTTATTTATTTATTCAAGAGAGAGACAGACAGACAGACAGACACAGGCAGAGGGAAAAGCAGGCTCCATTCAGGCAGCCCAACGTGGGACTCGATCTCAGGTCTCCAGGATCAGGCCCTGGGCTGAAAGCGGCACTAAACTGCTGAGCCACCCAGGCTGCCCGGGTGATTACATTTTAGACAATACACTGATACGCTGAGACAGTTACCAAATATTCAGAGGGATATCTAATAGGTCTGGAGTTCAGAAAAAAAGTTGTGTCTAGAGCTATAGATTTTAGCATTTATTTGTATAATGAAAGCCTTGGACATGGCTAAAACCATCCAGCATGAAATACATAAAAGGAGAGGAGGACTATGGATAAAACCCTGAGAACATCATGGTTTAGGAAACTTGCAAGGAGATGTGTAAAAAACAATAGCCATTGAAATAGGAAAGAATCAAGAAAAACGGTGTCATAGAGAACAAAGAAGTTTCAAAAAGACAGTGAATAAAGTTAAGTACTATAAGAAAAGTGACCAAAGGGGTGTGAGAGTGGCTGAGTCCATTAAGTGTCTGCCTTCAGCTCAAGTCATGATCCTGAGGTCCTGGGACCGAGCCCTATACTGGGCTCCCTGCTCAGTGGGGAGTCTGCTTCTCCCTCCCCTACTCCTGGCTCTCTCTAAAATAAATTCTTTTCTAAAAAAGAGAAAAATAATGAAAAATATCCCCTAGATTTGATAAGGAAGATCACTGCTAACAATAGCAAGAATAGTTTCAATGAAGATGGAAGTAGAACCTGACCACAGAGGGCTGAAGAGCAGAACGTGAAAAACTGAAAAATGTGACCACTTTTTCACAATACTGAGTGATAAAGTGGAGACAAGGCATTTAATCCAGAGAATAGGGAGAGAGGATATATTCTGAAATGGAAGCAGGTTACTCCAATCTCTGAAACAAAAGGTAAGAATGTGTGTAAATGAGCCACTCTTCCACCTCAAGTTTCTGTGATTCCATCCATGTGCTCATATGTATTTCTTTTCCACTAGGTTTCAACTATTTCTTGCTGTTTTCACTCCTGCATTTCTCCTTCACTGTTTCTTATATGTCAAAATACCTGTTAATGTCTAGTCTTGGAGGGATCCCTGGGTGGCACAGTGGTTTAGCACCTGCCTTTGGCCCAGGGCGTGATCCTGGAGACCCGGGATCAAATCCCACGTCGGGCTCCCGGTGCATGGAGCCTGCTTCTCCCTCTGCCTATGTCTCTGCCTCTCTCTCTCTCTCTCTCTCTCTCTGTGACTATCATAAATAAATAAAAAATTGTTTAAAAAAATGTCTAGTCTTGGAAATCTATAGTGGAGAGTTACCATGTACATGCAAGATATCTGTTTTTAAGATGAGACATATTTAAATTTGGTAGCTGTTGATCTCCATATTTCATACTGAAGATGGTGACATATTCACCACAAAAGGAAACATCAAAATTGAGAAAAGAGCAACAATAGGAGGGTCATGGGAAAAAGGGAGAAAGGGAAGAGAAGAAGGAAAGGAGGGAGGGAAGAAAGAAAGCTTACAGCTTACAAGAAAACAGACAAGGGAAAAGTGAGGGGGAGGAGGAGGAGGAAGGAAAAGAAAAAGGAAGAATAGAAATGCAAGTGAGACACTGCACACTGGGGAAGAGTTGAGGACACGTACGTAGATGTGAAGTTGAGCTAGCTGATCCTAGATCAAGGTAGAGAATGCTTGCTACTGTCTAATTTCTTCCCAGGTAAAAGTAGAATGTCCAGTAGTGCTATTCCCAAAAAGCATGACCACCTACCACAAGCAAGAAATTTATTACTCTCATTTTTTTCCATTACTCAAAGAAAAGGTAGAATTAAAAAAAAGAAAAAGAAAAGATAGAATTAGTTTCTCATTTCCTTGCTGGTTTAAATTGGCTGGCATTCACACTCCTTACCCTCTTTAACAAACTGATGGTTATCTCAACTGGCACAATCTTTCCATCTTTAATGTACTTTTCAATGAGTTCACCATACTGTGAAGCTGGGTTCTTCCTTTCATCACGAAGAAGTTCTCCTGCAGAAAGGTGTGTGTAGCCATATTTCTGAAAGGAACAACACATAGGAGGAAAAATCAGAATATATTCAACTCAGGGGCACTTGGGTGACTCAGTCAGTTGAGCATCCAGCTCTTGATTTTGGCTCAGATCATAATCTTGGATTGAGCCTTGCAGCTGGATGTGCACTAAGTCTGGAGTCTGCTTGTCCCTCTCCTTCTGCTCCTCCCCCACCTTGCTCTCTCTCTCTCAAATAAATAAATTTTAAAAATAATAATGAAATCCAGTAGTAGGACTATCAATTTTTTCCTTCATGTTAATTTCTAGTCTAATTTTTCTACAATAAACAAGCCTTGCTTATATATTTAAAAAATAATTTTAAAAATTGAGATTTCATATAATCAAGTTTGCTTAAAAAACATACTTAACCTGGTAGGACATGGTAGCTATAATAGTAACATACCATGAAATCATCCCAAAACTTATGTAACTATTCAAGGCATAAACATTTCATTATAATCCTTCATAAATACAATCAAAACTTAAATGTCATTAATAATGTCTAGAGAAATGCCTAACAATACATTATACAATGTATAATGTATAATACATTAATACATAATACAATAATTAATGTATAATGTATATACATTAATACATTCCCCCCCTATACAATTCAGGGGGGAAAAAAATCTTACCACTGTTGGTTGTACCCACCTTCTGCAAGATCTCTGCTTCCCTTCCCTAAACTTAACACATCCTAACTAAACTCATCAGCATTTATACTAACCCTTTTCTGGTCTGTTCCCTTTCTCAGTAAATAGCACAGGTCCAACCTCCTCCACAAAATTAACTTTCCTGGGATCCCTGGGTGGCTCAGCGGTTTAGCGCCTGCCTTTGGCCCAGGGCGTGATCCTGGAGTCCCAGGATAGAGACTCACGTCAGGCTCCCTGCATGGAGCCTGCTTCTCCCTCTACCTGTGTCTCTGCCTCTCTCTCTCTGTCTTTCATGAATAAATAAATAAAATCTTAAAAAAAAATTAACTTTCCTGACCACTTTCTGGAGAGTGGTCACATAATCAAATAGTGTTTTCAAGTATCACTGTCTCTCTACCTAGACCAGTACCTTCCTTAAAAGTACCACTCTTAAAAGCCCATCTTCTCTTCCTCTAGTTGCAACTAGAGGTCTCATCATAAAATAGGAATACAGAGACCTATTTTATAAAAGTTAGTGGTGATGACTAAATGAGATAACGTGTGTAAGTTTCCTACCAAAGAGCCTGACACATAGTAGGAGAGAAGTCCTCAATTACCTCTTTGCCATTACGATGATACTTATCTTAAACAATCAAGAAGCATTTTTATATTATATGTATATATACCGTTTTTATACTATACACACACACACACACACACGAATATACACTCACTTTAATGGTTTTCATGGAAAGACCAATCAAAAGGCTTAAATGAAATAATAGATATGAATAGCCTATGAAAGGTGAGTAGTATAATATTATTATGATTGTGATGATCATTATTATGTAGGACTTACAAATGATGCATTAGGTCGGGGTATAGGGTAATAGCTGACTAAGTCAGATAGGATGCTGTAGTGTTGCGCTGCCACTTTCCCATGACTAGAACGAGAAAACAATGCAGATCTAAGAAATAATTCTGAATAATGAAAAGCTTTTTCCTCAACATGAACATACACATTCCATTTATCAAAAGAACTATAAAATCTATTTTTAAAAACGTTTCTGGGGTGCCTGGGTGTCTCAGTCAGGTAAGCCAAGGACTCCTGATTTGACCTCGTCATGATCTCAAAGTTGCAAGACTACCCCCCAAGTGCAGCTCCATGCTCAGTGGGGAGTCTACTTTTCCCTCTTGCTTTGCCCTTCTCCCCACTTGCTAGTACACTCTCTCTCAAATACAATCTTTTAAAAAAATTTTTTTAATAAATAAGTAAATAAAAAGAACACTTAATATTTTAAAAAATACACTTTTATTCTCAATTATTAGTGCACTCAGAACTATATTCAATTTTCAGTTACAACAATCATCTCACCCCAAATTTTAAAAACTTCCTAAATGGGTTTATCTCATTCACATTTAGGTATATAATAAATATTTAATATCTTAAATTTATCTTTAATTTCAACATTAAGATTTAAGGAAGCCCACATTCCCATCTCCCCCTTTTTTTTAATGTTTTTTTAAATTTATTTATTTATGATAGTCAGAGAGAGAGAGAGAGAGAGAGAGAGGCAGAGACATAGGCAGAGGGAGAAGCAGGCTCCATGCACCGAGAGCCCGATATGGGATTCGATCCCGGGTCTCCAGGATCGTGCCCTGGGCGAAAGGCAGGCGCCAAACTGCTGCGCCACCCAGGGATCCCCCCCATCTCCCTTTTAAAGTAGAATATCTCAATTGCACAGTTCATAAAAATTCTCAATTACCCAGATTATGGTGAGTCTTCTTTATTTATTTTTTATTTTTTTTGAGTCTTCTTTTTTTAGATGCAGAAACCATATATTCCTTACCCCTTTTTCTATTTCTAAACATCGTTAGCTAAAAGTAAGCTAGCAGTAAGGTAGTCAGCGAAGGAAAACAAACTCTAAATAGTTTACTTGCTGACTAAAACTGGGCATAAAGTTGGATGAGAATAAACCAAATCAGAGTGTCATTTGTATCTCTTAGTCATATAGCCCCTTCCATTAGAATAATCAAAAGTGGCTTTAGTTGTTGTTGAAATAGGCTTAAAAAAACAAAAAACAAAAAAACCTCCCATCGCTTACAGAAAATGGAATACAAAATGTTTAATTATTTAAACTGTTATTCTAAAATTATTTCCACACCACACCATTTTTAAATGCCTACTTTGATCACCAAGCATAAGGAAACTTCTGAAAGATGGGTGTAGAAAAGACTATAAAAAATGAGGCGTGACCCACTCTCCCACTTACAATTTTCAAAAAGCATTTTGCAACTAGTGTCCATAAAATTTTATAGCAGCTCCATTTCCTACAACTTATTTTGTTTCCTGCTTGGAAGTCTATGCTTGCTGGATGTTCTCATCTGGTCTAGAGATTATAGCATATGGTAATACTGAATAAATGTAGAGACAAACAGTACTAAACAATGGCAAATGCTTAGTGAAACACCAACCACACAGACTGCTCTGTATGAATTGCCTCTGCTGCATGAACAACATACATTTAGAAGCCCAGCTAGTAATTTAGAAATTAGTACATACGGTGTTGGCTTCCTGACATTGAAGCGCTCAAATTTCCGAGATTTATATTGCATTAAAAAGGGTTTTGGCATATCACTTTTTTAAAAGAGACACTAGTTGTAAACTGTAGAAGTATAAAAATGATATTTTAAAAAATAATCACACACAGTTTGTCAAAAAGAAAGAAAACAACCTTAACTGCAAAGTCAAAGGAAACAAGGAATTTAAATAACTGTAACCATGTCAGATCTAAACATGTGTCTTCCTCTTTCTCATCCATATCCCATTTTTAAAAATCCTCTATTTACTGCTTTTTTTATACTATATTTTTAAGGATTTCGCTGAAGCTTTCCTCTTACCACAGAGTTTCTACAACAAAAAAGCAACTATTACTTACACACTAGCTATTATGGTATTTTAATAACAGCTAGACTTTAGGCAGCATGTTTTTAAAGCATTCTGTTGTCATTAAATAGTCACTGATGCCAATTTTGAGGAAAGCAAGAATGGCTATTCCCCAGGCTTAACCAAAACTTTTTCACATTCTCTGAAATTTCCTAGCAATTAAAACCTAGTGGGTCACTAACTGCAATCTTAAGAGCAATATTCAAAACCACAGCAGGTTATAAATACTATAAACTACAATAAATAAAATTACAAGCTACCATTCAACTAAAAATAGTTTTCAAGTGACAGATGTATAAAAATTCATTTAGAGTAATGGTCTGAGCTTTTTACTTTCATTTTCTCCGTTGAGAAACTGAAAAACAACTCAATCAATTTTTATAAACCACATACTAAAATCTGGAGGGAGAAAAAAAGCACCATGTTCTCAATAAGGGTAGAATGGCACTCTATTTTTACTACAACTAGGCAAATGTCGACTATTTTATAGTATTAAATCTCTAGTCATCTTGATGGGACTTCTCTCACTTCTCAGCAATCGTCTTTCCTTCTTTCTTAATTTAAGTAATGTGGTTCTATGTGAACAAAAGCAATAAAAACAACCAAAACAACAACCTCATAAAAGAGTTCAAGGTAAAAATGATGCATAAATGGCAAGTCCTTGGAAGCGAGTAGAGATCCAGCTGCCAGATACCTCCTCTAGTTAGTGTGGCATTTAGAAAGTATATGGGGCTGCTTCTGAGCTTCATAAGAAAGGACACATAGCAGGTATATTAGGTATAAATAGATTTTTAATGCAACTATGTGCATTAAAATTATTGAATGTCCTTTAAAATAGTGGATGCATCTATGAAGCATTTAAAACTAAGTTTATTTTGCATTCCCTAAAGATTAATGAAACCTAAAATCTAAATTTTGGGGAACCCTGGGTGGCGCAGCGGTTTGGCGCCTGCCTTTGGCCCAGGGCGCGATCCTGGAGACCCGGGATCGAATCCCACGTCGGGCTCCCGGTGTATGGAGCCTGCTTCTCCCTCTGCCTATGTCTCTGCCTCTCTCTCTCTGTGTGTGACTATCATAAATAAATAAATAAATAATTTTTTTTAAAAAAATCTAAATTTTGGTTATATTCTGTCAACAATGCACCAACAGAATACCCAGAAATGCTGCAAGGACTATCCAGAGTCATCCAGATTCACCAGTCTGGTGTTTGTTGCAAACAACAGCTTTAGAGTCTACAGCCTCCCAGAAACATTTTATAAAAGCCTACCATTCACTTCAAAGGCATTTCCAATAGAACTTTTTCCAATTACTCTAAATGAGATGTCTGGTAAGGACCTTCCAAGAACAAAATCTGCCAGTCTTCGGGAACTTACATTCTTTTGAATGTAAAAACCACTATACGGTGC